CTCCGCAACTATTACACCGAGATTGATGCTCATATGTATCTTTCCTACAATAGCCCACTCCGATTGGGGTGCCGGGTTTAATGTGGGCTGGCGGCGCATGCGTTACAAGAGGGTATCTGAATCTACCTGACAATACTCACGCACGTTATAAACTGGATCCTTTTGTCAATGATGGGTGCGGTTACCCAATATCTTTTCCCTGACCAGCACCTGAGATTCTGTAGATCTATCATGTTCAATACGGGCGACCTAGGGTCTGTGCAACTGGTATTGCTCAATCGGTCGTTGTCTTATCTTTACGCAGAGCTTGGCTTCCAGACGGATCACTCGAGCATCTTGGAAGAATAGACGATCAAGTCAAAATCAAGGTTTGTTTGGGATATGTTGAATACGCACGGGGCTCAACGTCGCTATTTCAGGGATTCCGTGTCGAGCTTGACGGCGTAGCTGCCGCCATGGAAGTGTGTAGCTTACTTTCGTGAAAGGAAGTTGACTTACATGTCGCAAAGACCACCGTCGGCATCAAAGCTGCCGCTGCTCTTCTGATTGACGAAGAGCTCTGGGGTTTCGTCACCCCTGACACTGTTGATGAAGCCGAAGTCAGAGCAGCAACTGCAAAAGTTCAGCCTTATTATGCTGTTCCAACGCACATTGTCGCTCTAGCTTCGTTTCCGCGAACGGGGTTAGTTCCTTTTCGAAATTGTCAACAATAAAGACTGACAGAAGGGCAGTAACGACAAAACAGACAAAAGAGCTCTTCGTCAACTCGCTGTAGAGTCCAAGAATAGCCCCAAGGCGATTGAGAAGGATGTAATTCCCCTCGTTACTTCCCGGATCGCGAATCGGCCCGGATCACAAACAAACGCCTCGTCAACTAGTTCCCTCACCGCTACTGCCTCAGTCGAGGAGGTCAAAGTTGAGAAAGACTCGTCTCTTGCGGTCGTGCTTGTCTCGCCAGCCCCCATCCATCACAAAGAAGTGGACCCTTCGTGTGATTCTGCCTCGACTGTGGATTCCGCAAGCGGGGAGGATGTCAAAGCAGTCATCGTTCGGGAGCCATGGCACGGATACGAGAAGGATGTACTCCCTAACAAAACACAAGGCAAAACTGTCCGGAACCTACGGCACCAGGTATTCAGCCTGTATCGCCGCCTTTTCAGTGTCGTCTTCTTAGTCAATGTCACCATCTTCATCACACTGCTTGTCCGGGGAGGCGCCACTGCACAACGTCTTGGGCTAATCACGCTGGCCAATCTTTTCGTTGCAATGTGCGTTGAAGTGTCTTGCGTATGTGTTTGCGTCTGACTCGATCATACAGTCTCATGAGGCAAGACTACATAGTCAACACTTTTTTCAATGTTTTCTGCGCTGTTCCGTCTTCGTACGTCGTGTGTTACATTGTGTGATTTCCTACTGAATGAAATTTCAATAGATGGCCGCTTGCAATCCGTCGGGTCTGCGCTCGGTAAGGGTGGCTTTCTCCAATTCAATCTTTCTAATATCTTGGTCTCGAAGTGTGTATCACATTGGCGGGCTGCATAGTGGATGTGCAACATCCGGCGTGGTATGGTTGGCGTTGACTTGTGGCCAAGCAACAAAAGAAGCAGTCAATGGCGGAAACTTCCCGCATGTAAGCGATTCGACTCTGTTTGGTACCGGATGCTCAACGCGAAACAGGCGTCTGTAGCAACCGTGGCCGTCTCCTACTCGATTCTCCTCCTCCTTTTCGGCATTGTGATATTTGCATACCCAGCACTCAGAAGCAAACGGCACGACACGTTCGAACGTGTCCATCGATTCTTTGGGTGGACCAGTATCATTCTCGTCTGGGCGCAAGTGGTCGTTCTCACTAATGATTATCGGGGAGAAATGTCACTTTCGCGGGCATTGGTGCGCTCTGCGCCATTTTGGATACTTCTGGTCATGTCAGGTATTTATCGCCTTGCTGGCTTGAATCATTGCTCACTTTTACATCAGTATCTATCATTCTGCCCTGGCTGCGGCTGCGAAAGGTGCCTGTGCGAGCAGAGGTCTTGTCGAAGCATGCTGGTGAGTTTTGTATTCTTCGCCGGGATCTTTGCTCATCTCGAGTTGAAAGTGCGCCTGTATTTCACGTATAGCACACCGATTCCCGGCAGTTTTGTGCGGCTTGCGATGCACCCCATGAAGGACTGGCATGGGTTTGCCACCATTCCTGTTCCGAACGAGAAGGGATTCTCGCTTGTTGTATCAAAAGCTGGAGATTGGACGAATTCACGGATAACGGACGCCCCGTCCCACGTCTGGGTTCGCGGTGCGCCGTGTTTCGGCGTGCTTCGCATCGTTCCTTTATTCCGACGAGTGGTATTCGTTGCGACTGGTGAGATCCCTCGTTTCAACCGAATCCGTCGTGTCTCATCTTCGGAACAGGAAGCGGAATCGGACCCTGTGCGCCTTGCATCCTCGAGCAACGGATTCCTATTCGACTCCTCTGGACGTCGCCAAATGTCCGTGAAACATTCGGAGACCAGCTTGTTGACGAAATTTTGGGGGCGTCGCCTGACGCTGTGATTTATGGTGAGGACAAGTTGCTTCAATGTGGGGACATTCGTCTCATAGCTCTATTAGACACACGCAAACATGGAAAACCTGACATGGTCAAGGTGTGCTTAAAAGAGCTGTTTTTCGTACCAAAAACTAATGCGACCTCCAGCTGACCATGCGCCTTGTCAAAGAATTCAATGCAGAGGCTGTCTGCGTGATCTCCAACCAAAAATTGACGCAAAAAATTGTTTATGGTGCGTACATTTCTCAAAATACCCGTACAAAACTCATGTCCTCCAGGTATGATGAGTCGAGGCATTCCTGCCTTCGGTGCTATTTGGGACTCATGATGAACTTACTCACGACTGTAATGTACTAATGTACTCTAGTGTAATAACTACCAAGCCTATGGGCAGAAGAATAAAATATGTGATAGCAGACCCGTGAGAATACCACAGCCGCGTCTCTTGCTCTCCACCATGGACTTACCTCAGGAACTGATCTGCCTCATCGTGTCGAAAGCATACTACAGAAACTTTCCATTCAACACGCCCGACTATGATACTCTGTCGGCGTGCTCCCTCGTTAACTCGACATGGAGAAACCCTGCGCAGACCCTTCTCTTTCGACGCATAACGCTCGAGGGAACCCCCGCATTCGCGCGATTTGCGGATGCAACAAGCAATAAGACTCTCCTTTCAAACGTTCGAAGTCTTTCTATTGCTCTCGTACAAGATGCTTCTGGTGTTGAAGAGTGTTCGGTATCGACCCTAGTGTCGATTCTTGGCCATTGTCCCCAGCTATATGAGCTCAGTGTCAGTGCACACAAGCTGTTTTCCCTGAACCCAAACGACATATCCAGTATATCTGCTGCCGTCGAGGCGGGATCGATTTCACTTCGGTCGCTTCGCCTGTTATATTGCAGTGTCCAATCTCCTCTGCTCTACGAGCTGGTTGGACTCTTCCCCACTGTGGAATTTTTGACCGTCGGTGTTGAAATCGCTGCTGCTCCACCTCCTATGGCGCCCGCTTTGCGGCTGTACGAGCTTTCACTCCATCGCACGCCGCCGTCCGACGTGTTGCAGTGGTTGCTTTCGTCATCAGGGACCTCCCTCCGTATCCTGGAACTACGTGACTTGCCCAGCGCCAGCACATGCCTAGACATCGCCAAATGCTGTCCAGGAATTCAGTCATTGCGTTTTATGCGTTATGACTCTCACAGCGCCGCTATTCTGGCACAGTGCACCAATTTAATAGAGTTGGTGCTTCTGAACATCCCCACCGTCATGCCGACGCTTCCTCCTTCCCTGGAGCATCTCGCGCTGCTCATACAAACATACACGGCCAGCGTTAATCTTCAACCAGTCATTCAGGCTCTCGAGTCACTCCCGCGCTTGAGGCTCCTCACTTTTGTTGGCGACCCACAGGGTGCGTTGGAGGAAACTTGTGAAGCAAAGAACATTGTTCTGCGAACAATCTCACGGAAATTCTGGATCGTGAGTCTGGTGTTAGTCGAAAGAATGGGATGCTGATTTTTAGAACGACGATCCTGTCAAAGCGACACATTTTCCCCGCAGACAATCAGTGTCCAATTTTTATTTAATGAACTAGGATTGCGTGTAGTACGAGTTCAATGTCCGTCTCTGACGTTGTGTCTGTTCCCATAACTGCATTTCTTCTGAAACATGGCAGTCTTTGACGGAGGTTTCCTCATAAGACGACAACTGCCGCCGCCCCATGCGCAAAAGATGTTCGATTGCGCTCACATCCCGTGAAGAGACACTGGTGGCCTGTTTGCGGAAAGAGTAGCGAATTAAGAGGTCCCATTTGGTTCGGGCGTGCGGCGGCTTCGTACGGGGTATTCGAAGAGCACTGGGTCCAGATGAGCGCCGCCAAAATGGTCCGCTAGGTAGCTGACCGTCTGTACAAGCTGAGAACCTCTCTTTGAAGTCCTGATCGTCGAAGCGACATGGTGGTGTAAAGCAAGCACGCCCAAACACTACAACTTCTCGCAACCAAATTAGGAAAAAATGGCTTGGGAGAGTGGCTGGGTTCGTTAGGATATGTATGCGGTAGGTAATGCCTGGTAGAGTACTTGCTATTGAATTTTCTTGAAGCCAAAAAAGCTGTTATGGTGCGTAAGACAAATCACACTCTGGACCGAAAAATACGGCAAGGAAGTGCGTTGGGGACGCGACATTTCGAGACGTTACAAAAGTTGATGTTCTCTCCAGAATGAGGCAGGAGTGGTGGCGAGAACAGCAATGATCGACGATCGGAGTCTCTTGGCAGTCTTGCTCTCTTAACTCCCATGTCGACTCGACTCCGCCGCCTCGGTAGCTTGCAAGCGCTGCCTTTTCTTGATTGCGTCGGAGAGCTCGCGGGGCTGGGCTTTCTCTCGTTTTCCATCTGACTCACGGCGAGCGTCATCCACATACCTAACGTCAATGGCAGAAGCAAAATGTCGTCAAAAAGAATGGACAAACTGGGAATTGAACCCAGCACCTCCCGCATCTGAGTCACGTGATCATTTGCACGGTCCTTGCGAAGCGGGCGCGATAACCAACTACACTATTTGCCCGTTGAAAATATATGTTTTACTTTTTGATATATAGCGTAAACACATGTTGCCACCCGGACTCAAGTTCCGCTCACTTCTCTCACTTCTCCCACTGCACGATCACGAAGGTCAAGCTTCTGTATGCTCAGCAGAACGACCCGCGTACACGAGTTAATTAAAGGGGATCATCAGTACACCTTCAGTTCGACGACGTTGCCAGTGTACATTATTGTATCTAGTAGTCAACTATTATAGGACAGTAAGAGGTATGGTCTATGTAGGTGGTTGTGACACAGGAAAGACGGGAGAAATGCGAATGCTATGATGATGCTAATGGATTGTTATGATGCTAAGGGAGAGAGAAAGGTATGCCGTTGAGAGAAAAGATGCAAGTGTCATTGTAATCCATTGAATGTCGTGTGCTCAAGTCAGGGTGGTTTTGCGCCTCTTGAGTTTCGGCGCCTTCGTCTGCACGTAATCCTCATCCTCATCGTCAGTCACCTCAAACTGCTCCGCCGTGGCTTGGCGTCGACTGTGATCCAGGATATTCAGTTCACGCAAACTACGGAGATTTGTCGTCAAAGAGCGGAAAAAATCGCTCTATGCGCAGTCAGCCAAATGATACCCAAGCGTTCCAAGCAACCTGACGCACCTTGGAAACACGTATCTTCGGTGCGTTGGCCCCAACTGCGGCCCTTTCATTTTCTATGCGCTTCTTCTTCTCGCGGTACTGTCCGAAAGTCAGGATATACATCAAACTCAAGGCCAGTAAACCAACCTTGCGTTGCTCCTCTTTGTTGAGCTCCTCCAACGCCTTGATCCACAACGCCAAATCTGTGTCTGCCTTGGGTGCGGCCACCTTGATATCTGCTTTTGCTTTCATCTTGCCGCCCCCCAACGACCCTAATCGATACTCAGCAAATTCATCATTCATGTCCTCTTCCGCTGCGATCGCCTCATCGTCCGAATCAGGCACAGCATAATCCACTGCCGTTGCAGAGCGCCGCGGACGTTTTCTCTTGCGTGGAGATGGCGACGCCGCCGTCAGCTCAACAGGCTCCGCCTTGACACGAGGAGACGTTTGTGTCGGTAACTGTGGTTGCTGGCCCTCCTGGCCCTTGTCCTTCCCTTTCAGTTTCTTCAGCAAGAACCGCGCTACGTCCGAATTCCCAAGATAGTCTTCCTCAGTTCTGTAGAACGGGGCGCCTTCCCGAATTCGCTCATATAGGTGAAAATCCTATTCACGCGTTCAGAAATTCTCGAACGTGTCGAGACGAAGACAGATACGCACGGCCGTGGAGCGTCCGAGCTGTGCCAAAGCTTGGAAATGCTTCAGAGTGATTGGAACAGGCACCGTTGCCGTGTCCAGGTACGCAGACAAAACCTGCTCATCATTCAGCTCGTTGTGGCGCGGATAGTATAGGGACTTACTGAATAACTGCCGTTGATGACTGCGTGCGTCAAGAAAGTCGCCGTGATACTGCTGAACGCTTTGAATTCAGTCTTGATCCATTTTGCCACTGAAAGAGAATCTGGAGGGATACGAATAAGGTAGAGAACGAATCACGCCAGATGATGACCCACCGACCGGGGTCCGCGAAGAAATTGAGCTGGCCATCCAAGGCATTGCATGATAGTAGTAGCGCCTTCGACTACGCGCACCTTGCTCGTCCCGTCTGATCATAGTACTCAGCGGCTCGATCCCTATTCTGCCAAGGGAATCTACGGAGAGTTGTGCCTGTCCGGACTGAGCCTCTCCATCCAACCCATTTTCCCGCGCCGTCGCGCTCTCCATGTCGAAATCCTCCTCATTTTCGTTGTTCTGCCCCTCTGCCCCGTCCTCCTCCTCAGCCGCGGGCTCACCCTCTTCGATATTGACGTCTTCACCAACAACGAATCCTCCCATACTTCTCGACAGTCGTGCTTTCAGCCGCTCTTGCCCATCCGGCACCTCCCCCAGTAGCGAGATGTGCTCCAGCCTGATCTCATGCTCTCCCAACACAGATTGCACAATTTTCGTTCGCACCGTCGAATGCATTTCAGACAACCTCTTCAGTGTCTTACCCTTACTATCCAGCGTCAAGCACCTCACGGCAACATCCTCGGCGAGGGTCCTGAACTCCGCATTCGTTACCTTTCTCGTCGTCTTGCTCGGCGACCCACTCTCATCCATATTCGATTCATCCGCGACACCCTCTCGACGCAAATATTCGAATAAAGGCGCCGGCTTCTCGACGAAGGCACTCGTGAGCACGTCAGCGGCGTCCTTGAGACTCATAGGACCGAGACCGAGAAGCGTAAGACGGGAAGCGATGGCAGAACCAGCAATGGGCGGGTCCGCAGCGAAAACGGTGAGATACATCGCCCGGCGGACAGCCGGATCTATCGCTATGGGTGGAGTGCGGGAGGAAGCAAGATAGGAGGAAACAGAGGTCGTCGACGTGGGAGACGGCGCAAAAAAGTCCGTGTAGAGCTGCGTGAGAATCTGCGTAGTGGCCGCAGTCGTGATCGCTCGCGCCTTAACAAAAAGCTAGCAAAATTGAGCAGGTGTTTCAAGACATTACAAGAGCTCCTCACCTTGATGACATCTTGAACAAGGTCGCTGCAATCGGATGAAAAATCAACATGAGGTGGGCGGAAATAAATTAAGCGACTGACGCGAGAGAGAAAGGCAGATCGCCTGTGCGGTCGAGTTGTTTGAGGGCCCTGTAAGCGGCCTCGTTTGTCTTAACCTCAAGGCATACCTCGGCCGCCACTGTACGCGTGACGAACATGCTATGCGCCATAAGACTCTGATAATGAAATGAGGGTAGAGCGGCAAGCACGTACTGGGAGTCTAGGCGACACAGCTCGCGTACATTGGCAGCAATTTCATCTGCGTGTGCTGGAATGGGGGTAGACGTCTTCTTTTCGAACATTTTGCGAAAGACGAAGTCACGGTACTTTTCGGAAGTATGTGAGACGCGGAATGTAACCGGTTCTACGGGAGGGCCGTACCTTCTCATCCATTTCAAACCCGTTGGCGACCGCATAAGGGAGCAGGCGAGGTTCAATAGCCAACACGAGAGGAAGTTGTACCATGAGAGGGTCGCGTTGACAAAATGGGATAAACTTGTTGATTTTCTCAAACGAGGCGACAATTGAAGGGCGAGACGAAAACTTACAAGGTACTTCTCGAACATGTCGCGTATGACCTCCCAAGACACGCTTTGGGCCTCGGCGGGAAACTTTGCCTCCTTGATAAACGTGGTAAAGATCGTGCCGTCGTCCTCGTTCTGATACACGGCTTAGAATATTTCATGCAAAGATAGTCACCACGAACCTTTCCTCGGGGAATCTCGTGGAATTGAGCAACGGCGAGAGTCATGAAATGATTCCAGGCATCCCAGGAGATATTTCGGACCCACGGAATCTTGAGGAAATGGGAATTGCAATGGAAAAAGTGGTGGAAAGCGACCTGAACAAAATAACGGGAGAGATGAGCGCCACTGGAAATGAGGATCTAGGGCGAGTGGCGAGTGAGAAGGTGGCATGGAGAGAGGAGCTAGGACAAGTACATCGAGAACGCGGGGGGTGACGAGCTTTGCACGGCAGAACGCAAAGTAAAGAGCCTGGATTCTGCCATAACGAGTAAGAAAGTAGTGTGCTCGAACATAGGGATCTTGGCTGAGGTGGAGAAGACGGCGACAGGCTATGAGGGGGGTGGGGTCGTCGACGCAGAAGAAGATGTCGGCGAGGACCTCGTCGGGGAGGAGGGTGAGAGTCATTGAGAAAGAGAGGTAGGCGTGTGTGACTGCCGGTCACCGTGACTGACCACTATTATCACCAAGTGAAAGCGCTTCGTTGTGGGCTTCGGACCGGGCGGTAGTAGTCCCAATTCGGATACGTGGTGACACCCAAGTATCCAACTGCAACCCAACTCTATCATTTCCGTTTGTTTCACCTCCATGTCTCAGAAAAAAACTTCCGTTCAGGCACTGGTCATCTATGCGTGGTCACCGCAGTGTATCAGGTCCCGCGCTTTTCTTTCTCATGTCTATAAACCACCGAGAGAAGTGGACTAGCGAGTTCAATCCAAAAAACGGTACATATTCATGGACGAGGAGGTAGGCAAGGACCCCTGCTGAATTCAATTCCACACAGCGAAAATAGGGGCTCTTCCAAATCCAGTAAGATCATCAATCCTCGCATCACCAATTAGGAAATCTTCCGAATCCACATCGGAAGTGCCAACACAAACGAACAAAAAGAATAATTGCACCAGAAAAAAGCAAGCAGGCTCTCAGATCCTAGACCCTCAAAGAAGCTCCCAAGAATATCACATAACACCGTAAACGGCGAATTAAGTCTTTTAGAACATCCTCCGGTAATACCCACTCCAAATCTTCCATGATAATCGCCAGTCTCGCATCGTCAGCGAACGCGCAAACGCATCAAAGTTGACTTTTTCCAGCTGTGCAAGAAACGTCGTGACGGGGACCCCAGCCAAAAACACAGGCATTGCAGCTGCAGGGACTTTACCTCCGGTACCCTTGAACATCTCGCGCGCCGTCAGCATGTGATCATTCGCCAGCACCGCAAAGTCGTATACGGCCGAATCGATCCCAGTTGCGCCCCCTCCATACCGGAAAACGTCCTCCTGCTTCACCCCATGCCGCGCGCAAATGTCCAACGGAATCGGAAGCCGCCGCTGACCCGCGTGATGTGGTAAAGACCACAATAACGTCGCAAGTGTCTGTGCTGTTCCCACATGCGATGCAGCATGGGCCAAGTCTTCTGCGCTTCCCAGCCCTCTGAGGGCGAGCAGAAGATAGAGTACAGTTGACGATACGCTCTCGGCGTGCCCCACAAGTGCGTCGCTCGTGGGATATGAAGTTGTTTGCAATTCCTCGTCGCGCGCGTCGATGATTCTTTTGAAATAATAGGCAGGGAGACTCGCGCGTTGGGTCGTCTGATGCAGCGCAAGAGCGACGGGATGTCGCGGCGGATTGTCCTGCCCGCCCGTCAGCCAGTAAATTCTT